AGCCAATTTAGGCGCTACCAGGGCAGAGGCATTTGCCATCGGAAGACGCATTGCGGAAGATGTGACAAAGGGGAATCCTACACCTGTTGTGTTAAAGCTGGAAAAGGTATGGATGACGATATTGTTCATATTTTTCTAGCCCAAATGTGGATTTCTTTATAATTGGCATTCCATCCAAATGATAACAAGACCTGTGCTGCCGGAAAATTGTAAATTTTAAGATTTGTTTTCATAGGTATACATGGGCTGTGTGCTAGAAACGAAAAAGCGCTATGCTGGCTGGATGCACGAGAGCGAGGATGATGAAGTAGGATCATTAGACGCAAAAGGAATTGAGACTGTTCGCAGAGATACATGCCCGGTTGTGGCCAAGGTGATCCCAGCGGATAGTTCCAGTACTGAAAGTGAAATATAATAGTTAGGTGCTCGAACGAAGCTTGAGGTTGATATTTACGCGAAATTGGCGAGGGCTGGGAATCTACCTGGACTCAAAGCTTTCACGTCTTCGGGATCTGCCTTATACTGATTTTGTATTCTCCAAGGAATATCGAGGCCACTATCATGAAAATGGACCTGTGCCCCAGCTCAAAGTGGCGATGTAAGGATTTCTGGACCAGGTTACAGATGCTGGACCAATTATTTCAGGTCCATGGCAGCAAAAAGTCCGGCGCACATAGCTCTTCATGGTGAACGACTTCCATATATAGTTACTTACGGACCTCCAGAAGCTACTGTGATATCTTGTGTGCGCTCACTTGCCGACTTTTTAGCAGACAAAAGTTTACAGGTGGGCAAATTTCGAACAATATTTTCTCCAATCTTTTTTCTCCAATCTAGCTCGATTCTAGGTCCATACCGCATACTACGCTCGTGCACATATCTTGCCTGCCTTGCGTCGGGTTACTGATCTTCTTCTTCTATCAATACAATGGCATGCTGATGCTAACTCACCTTGTTTTACGTAAGTAGCATTTTCTCCTCGTTTTTCCGAGTCTCACAAAAAATTTAAAGGCAGTGGCTCGGGAAAACTGCCACTGCTGACTTTTCACAACCACATGGTATTCTGCACCAGCTGAGTCCGGTACTGTGCTTGAAAAGACAAAGAAGTGTTTTTTGGCTTTTGCGACCTCAGTGATTGCTGAATGTCGATACATAGAGCCATGTACTCTGGTAACCTTCACTTTG